GGGGGGGGGGGGGGTACACGTGTTTTGCATGCCTGAGTTGTTACACCAATGACCGGGGGGCGGGGGGGTAGTTTTCTCGTGATCCAGAGGGACTCACTTCTGTTCGATCCCCATGGTTGTTGATGTGCGTACTCCTCGACCCGACCCCGCAAACGTTCAGCGGGCAAGCGTCCCAGGAAGGGCATAATCCGATGTACTGCTTGCTTGTCGCGAGACTTTTGTGTCAGAGGGGGGGGAGTCTAAATCGCTGCACTGCGTGCAGTTTCGCCCATGGCTCTCTCTCTCTGTTCATACAAACACACACACCATGCTATAAATAACCCTGGCGGAAACGCGGTGCTTGTCTCGACTTAGTAAAAAGAGCGGTCACCTCCCGTCTCGAAAGGAATGAATGCGCGGCCAGTAGTCCAACGAAGGCACCCCCCCCCTTTTTTTGGTGTTTTCTCCAGGTACTCTGGGGCGTCAGCGGCACGGGTGTGGGGGTCCATCTACTGGGAGAACCTCAAGGGGTACCAGGACAACGCTTGCATGGAGAAGCGCATCCTCTTCCGCCTCCTGAGCGGCCTCCACTCGTCCATCATGACCCAGATCGCCAACGACTACCGCTTCGACGGTAAGAGCTATCTTGGCCGCCAGCTATCAGCCGCCACCTCGGGGTTCGGTTGGGAACTACATTGCCCTGTATCCGGGGTAGCACTATCTGGCGATAAGATGGCCATAGACCATAGATATTGTTTTTGGCTGGGAAGTGTGCAGGGTCGATCCGAAGACTTCAAACCGCCAACACTTCAACAGCAGCTAGCCGCAGCAGTCGTTGTTCTCCCGATAAACAAGCTGCCATGCTTAGGACCGACTGCCCACATACTGCGTTGCAAATGGCAGCAGTATTTTTAGTGTGTTGTACGACTTCGACGTTGAGTCAGCCATGACAAATGTTGTTCCAAAATCAACAACAACAACAACAACAACAACAACAACAACAACAACAACACTTGTTTCTTCGTGGCTGCCTTGATGTGCACTGTGGTTCTTTCACAAGACACCACCGTTGTTTTCGTATATTACCTCCAACAACTATTGTCACCCCCCTGTACGCACACCCTGTGGGTATGCACCCGAAGTTGCCAACACACCCAGCTGAGCCCCCCGCCCCACATGTTAAATTTGTTCCGCACTACCTCATGTACCAATTCAGACAGCACCTGGAGACCCCCAACACGACGATGTTCGTTACCGCCCTGGGCATGCACCCTGACACGTCAATACACCCTGCTGAGCCCCCCCCCCCCCTCTGCCATGTGTGTACCAATTCAGACGGCACATGGGGGCCCAACACCAAGATGTTCGTGAATGCCGTGGGCATGCACCCTGACCGGCTGACCAACATGTACTTCACCTACGTGTTCGTGCTCAGGGCGATTGGAAAGGCGCGACCGTTCCTCATGGTACGGGGGACAAAACCGTAACGAGACCCGCGTGCCTTATGTGTGTGATGCCGTAAATTATGCGTATTCGTGTTCCGCGTTTCCTCGCTTCCACTCCTCTATGTTGTTGTTGCTGCTGCTGCTGCTGCTGCTGCTGCTGCCGTTCTTCTTTACCCAATGACGCCTGCCGTGACTTGCGAGGCTGCTGGTGTGCCGTGTATCGCGTTGCATGTTCTGTCCGTTGGGAGGGTACCGTGGTCCAAGTCGGCAAGTCCAGCTGGGGGACCACCGCTCTCTCTCTCTCTCTCTCTTTCTC